GGGATGCGAACCATGGTCGACTATGTGGGAGTCCAGCAACATAGCCATTACACTAACTGCTGGTTCCCCATAACAATTTCAAATACTTTTATGTCCTCCAGTCTTTCAGTCTCTACCATAGAGTATAAATAGTCATATACGTAGACAGTCAGTATATGTTAAGTGGAGACATACATGTCTCTCTTCATACATGAGTGAAGCAAGCTCAGCAATAAATCTTCCATGTTTTTCCACTTTCTGTCAAATGCCAGGGCCTTGTTGTTTTTTATGGCTGAATAGTATTTCATGTGCCACACTTTTTCAATCCATTCATCTGTTTGTGGACATTTGGGTTGGTTCCATGTCTTAGCAAGTGTGAATAATGCTGCAATAAATATAGTTGTGCAAGTGCTTTTCCAACTGAGCATTCTCCTGTCCTTTGGGTAAATACCCAGGAGTGGAATTGCTGGATCATACGGTAGTTCTATTTGAAGGTTTTTGAGGATATGTTCTTCTATAATGCATTCAGAGAATATATAGTCTTATGTAATGTAACCAAAGTTATACAATACATGTTGATTTATACTTTGCTTCTTTCAGTTAACAGTATATTTTGGAGAATATCCATAGTAATATACAAAAAACTATTATTATTTTTAGCAGCTTCATTATACTCGACTGTGTAGTTAAATCATAATTTGTTTTACTACTTATCCATTGATAAACATTTAGTATTCTTTGTACCCTGTGTCTCTGTAAACAGTGCTGTTGAATAACCTAGTACATGAATCATTTGGTATATGTCCCAGTATAATTGTAGGATAAATAAAAAGAGTAATTTTTAGTCTATGATTTTCATGTGCTAAATTTAGAATTTAACCTATGCAAAAACATGAGTTCACTATAGTTACCTTTTTCTCCTAGAATGTTCTGAGAGCCAGAAAACTCTGTTAGCTCTGGCTTTGGTTTCTGTAAATGTGTCTAACTTGTAGGTAGAATGAACATGGTTCTGCTCTTTGCCTTAAGAATGGATTCTACAAGTCCTTGGTAACCTTCACCTCCTTTTTTATTGTAGAAGACAAGAGCATATCATAGGCTGAAGGATGATGTCCCAGAAGAGGTAAAATTAAGGCGTTTGGAGGAACTTATTACTGTTTTCCGAGAAGAAGCAACAAAAGCCAACGAGACATTTGTGGGATGTACCCAGCTAGTGCTGGTAGAGGGGGTGAGGCCATATGTATTTATTTTTTATTTTTATTTATTAATTTATGCTGGATGGTATGAATGGACATGTACATGAATGTGTATGTAAAAGAACACCGAAGAGCTTGTGTGCTCATGCACCTCCCTCTATTGGGGCTAATCATGCTTCAATTTTTGATTAAAGCATGATTCTTTGATTTCTCCTCTGATTTTCTATTCCTTCAGAATCCTAGGGACACACATGTGATTTTAAAAAAAATTTTGGAGAGATTTTCGCTATAGGACAAACATGCACTTGCCTGAGAGACAGAGACAGAGAGAAAGAAAGCAAGAAATCACCCCACCCCACCAAAGGGATGGTCAACAGAGAGAAAGAAAGCAAGAAATCACCCCACCTCACCACAGGGATGGTCAAGCTACAGTCCTTTCTCCTCCTTTCTCTTCTTCTTAGGATTTTGGGCATGCATGCACATGCACCCAGTGTCAATTTCAAGCTGCTGGATCCAGGACTTAAACCCTGTTTGACTATGTGGGAGTCTAATACCTTAACCAGTACTCTACCTGCTGGCCCCCATACATGTGTTTTTTTAAGCCACCGAGGCCGAGACTTGCACTCTGAGTGACCACGTAGGATCTGGCTTCTTCTGCACAGTGCTTAAATGCTGTACTGTTAGGGCTGGCCCTTGCTTTTTAGAACACTGTGTATCTCTTCTTTATATAAATCTTCTTTGATTTTTTTTTAATTAAAGTTTTTGTGGTTTTTAGTATGTAAGTCCTCTTGTTAGATGTGCTTGTGCTTTCTTCTTGATCTTATGGGGTCGCTTCTTTTTTTCTTTTCAGAATGACTTATTTAATTTTGGGACCAGCAGATGGTGTAATGGCTATGTCACTGGACTCCCATGTAATTGACCGCAGTTCGAGTCCCAGACCCAGTGACTTAAACTCATGCCACGCACATATGCGTGCATGCCCAAGATCCCGAGAGGAGAATGGAGGAGAAGGGATTGCAGCATGGCCATGCCCTTTGGGGGGTGATTTCTTGCTTTCTGTCTCTCTGTCTCTCTCTGTCTTTCTGGTGAGCACACATGCCCTATAGCAAAATACCTCTCCAAAAAAAAAGAATTAATTTTATTTATTATTATTCTTTTATTTTGACTAGAGAGAGAGAGGAAAAGTGAGAAAGCAAGTCATCAGGTCCATGACATGAACTGTGGTCAGCCATGTGGGAGTCCAGTGCCTTAACCTCCATGTCACCTGCCAGCCCTAGGTTCCCTCTTTTATTGACTCATTTCTGTTTAAAGACCTTCCTTTGGCAAATGTGGCAACAGATTCTCTTAGTTTTCTTTCATGTTAGCGTGCCTTCATTTCCTTTTCAATCTTGGGAGATATTTTTGCTGGAAATAAGATTATGGGTTAATAATTCTTTCCTTTCAGCTCTTGAAACATGTATACTTTTTTCTGGTATCCATGATTTTTTATGAGAAATCTGCTGTCATTGTAACTTTTCTTAAAGAAAGATGTCATTTCTCTCTTTCAATATTTTTTTGTTTTAGTGTTTAGTGTTCAGAAATTTAGCTTTGGATTTATGCTGTTTGGATTTTTTGTCTTTTGCTAAATTTGGGAAATGTTTGGCTGTATGCTTGCCCTCTTTTTCCTCTTCTGGAATTCTGATGACAAAGGTCAACACAGATATTAGCTTTTTAAAAAATAATTATTTATTTTATTTATTCATTCATTTATTTTTTAGTTTGAGCAGAGACAGACAGGGTGAGAATGAGAGAGAGAGAGGAAGTGAGAAAGCAAGCTACTAGATTCAGGACTTGAACCCTGGTCGGCCATGTGGGAGTGTCCAGCGCTTTAACCACACCACCTGCTGGTCCCCTAGATTTTTTTTTTTTAATGACCAGAGAGCACATGTGCATGTGAGAAAAAAGGGAGGAGAGAGAGAGAGAGAAAGAGAGAGAGAGAATATCCCTCTCAATAAGGCTTGGTCATATAGCAATCCTTTTTTTCTAATTCTCCCTCCTGTCAGGATCCTGGCACATGTGTGCATGCCTGGTGTGTTTTTAATCTCTTCCATTTTTTTTCTTTGCTGTTGCGATCTTGGGTCACATGTACATGTGTCCAGTGTGTTTTTCAAGCTGCCAGGGCTGGAATTCAAACAATAGTCATATTTGGCTCCATTTTTATATCTTCTACTTATTTCCATCACTGTGTTCTCTTTTTATTTCCTTTGAAACTTAATTTCACATTTAGACTTAGTTGTATTGGGTTGTCAGAAAAGTCATGACACATTTTTGCAACAAATGGCACTAGTTATATTTGGAAGTACTAGAGTAATTTGCATCTATGTTATTGCTATGTCATTTGACAGCTGACAGTAGCTTCACTTAAAAAAAACTAAGCACTTTGGTTGAGTTTTGGAGATTTACAAGTTGAAGTGGAAGACCCAACTGCATTTTCTTTATATTTTACTGTTTTACTTTTGTAAAGAAGGATGCATGTCATGTCAAGCTTATGAAAAGTTTTATAAAGTTTATAGTGACAACGCTATATGAGAATGTCATTGTCACTGATGGTTCATGAAATTCCGTGCTAGTGATTTTGATTTCCATGACGTTTCTGGTCAGGGAGTCCCACTGAAGTCAATGATGACAAAATAAAGGCATCGATTAAGTCAAACCCACATTAACACGTCATGAAAGATTGCAGAAATGAACATTCATCATTCAAGTGTTCACAACCACCTGAAGAAGCTAGATATGTAAACAAGCTCAGTATTTGGGTTCCTTATGAACTCCAAGAAGTTCACATGACAGTGCATATAAACATCTGTGATATGCTTATTAAACTTGGGGAAGATGATCCTTTTTTTTTTGGAGA